GTCTTCTTTTTCATATTCATACATCTCAATGTCTAGATGATCAATTAGAGGGTTTTTACAATATTAAAACAATATTTTCAATAGATTTTTGAGGTGCATATGTGATTCTACATTTTAAGGTTGCACCTTATATAACCTTTTCCCGATACTACTTTATATTTATTTGTAAACCTAAGGAGAGTTAACTTTTTTCTGGGCAATGGTTTTGACTGCGGTTAAGCTAAACAATTACACAGCTTTCGCCACGGTCTGGATCTGTGTCGGCAGCAAGACAAGTTTCAATTCATCATGTTTAAGGGTGTACGAGATCTTTCAGTTTTGGGGTGGCAAAGGGTCGGGTCCGGATCTAGTTCCGGGCTGGACTCAGGCCCAAAAATATAATATGGGACATGGATTTGGATCCGGACTTGGACCCAACCCAAAAATTACAATATCTAAATATTTCAATATACATATTAATATATATTCATTAATATGGAAATATGTGACCGAGAGTTGGACCCAGACCCGGACACATGCCTAAATAGTGTTTGGGCCCAAGATTTGGACCTAGACCAAATTTGCCACATCCAAATTTTGGGCCCATACCCAGACCCATGTCAGGTCCTAGGTCCAAGTCCGGGTTCGGGTCCTGATCCCGGACCTGGTCCAGGTCCATTGCCACCACCCAAGTTTTGGAAAGAAGGGCAATTTTTGTCACGGTAATACAAAATCCACTGATTTCAGTTGCGTTGAACATTGTTTTCAAGGGATTAGTTCTACAATCGTGTGTTTAGGCTTTAAGCTTGAACAATCTAGCTTAAACTAGATTGACTCAAGTTTGAACCATCTAGCTTAAGCTTGATTCGATTAAAGGACATTAAGCTTGAGATTGACTTAGCTCATTTACTTGAAGCAAGACCATAAATATGTCAAAATCGAGCCACAAATAAGGCCATATTTGTGCCAAATAAAGCAAAAACATGACCAAGACAATCTTTGCTCGGAACACGCCTCAACTAAGGCTTGTTATCAAGTGAATTGTCCAGCTCAAGTGGCTTGGCTTGTCGAGTGGCAAGACGTTCACGGTGGTATTGGTTTGGCTTGTTCGCCCAAATTTCCTATTTCTGATTTTTAGTCGGTTATTGGAGATTTTTCATATTAATCGGAATATGAATTAGGCTTCAAATTTATCATATCCTTCTGATATTCAATTTATCATCATCACTATTATCATTCAAGCTTTGTCATTTCATAAATTTTTAAGAGCTTTTATAGGTTCTTCTCTCAACTGGAGATGTTCTTTTCTCATAATGTTCAAATGAAAGACACCTTTTATTTTAAGAAAATGATTGTGTATCTATAAGACCATTTATTATTAGTACAAAAAAGTTAGGATCATTTTTAACCATTGAATGAAAAAATTGGGTTTGGAGTGAATCACAAAATCTAAAAAAATTCATTTGAGACTTTATATGCCCATTCAATGACTGACCAACTGCCGGCATTTAGGATAGCATAACATGTTTGGGTAAGAGTATCTATGTCATGGCTATCAAAGTGTTGAAGATTTAAAACACGCAAAGATAAAGAATCTACATCCATCTCTCCATCTATCATGCATGTCTAAGTGCTGCCAAATGTTATATGGTCAAACCGCATAATGTAGAAATGAGGGCTTGCAAATAAATATATTTTTTAAATATATTTTAATATTATTTTTAGAGAATATATAATCTTTAATATGGAGATCATGAATATGAATAAATAAATAAATTCTAAAATTAAAAATAACAATTATATTAAAAAACGTTTGGACCTTTCGGTACACTTGTTTTTAGATAGACCATGTATTTATATCCATCTTTAAGATTAAAAAATAATAATAATTATATTAAAAAAACATTTAAACTTTTAATTACACTTGTTTTTAGATAGACCACCTATTTGCTTCCATCTTTACGATAAATGTTTTATACCTCTGGACTGCATATTATAAAAATATCATCCAGCCCGCATTAAACAATTTCCTAGACACAATATATATAAGACAGTTTCTATGCAGCCCGCCCGCATATTGTAGAGATGCATACTTGGCAATAAATATATCCTAATTTTTACATAATATATAATCTTTAACATGGAGATTATGAAAAAAAAAACTAAAAATATTATTTATACTAAAAAAACATTTGGATGATTTGGTTACACTTGTTTTTAGATGGACCACCTATTTACATCCATCTTTAAAATGGATGTTTTATACCTCTGGACCGCATACGGTAGAAATACGATCAAGCCCGCATAAAACAATTTTCCACATACAGATAACGTTGAACTTAGGTCTTCTCCTGGCCACACGTGTCTAAAATTGACACACCAGGTTGTCCCATGGCTTAACCCCCAAGAGAACGGAGATCGGTTTTTTCAAATTTATCGGGGCGATGCAAACCATCCATTGTTTGCTTCAGAGCGACCAAAAGCGTATGCCATGGACTCCATGGATGGATTGGATGAATAGTTGAGATTTGATCCCATTCATAATTTGTATGGCCTATCGTACGACCAGTCTTAACGGGCCTACGTTACGTTTTCGCGTCTGCCCATCGATCCAGATAAGCTCGCAGCGTCCACCGTACGATCAGAAGATTTGGACCGTCAATATCAGCCCCACACTCATAATAGCATTGTACAGGACACTGACACTTTTGCCTGTCATCACGCATCCCGATGCATTGGTGGGGACAGACGATATTTACGCACTTCCAAAGTGGATGTAAATCTCGACTTGAACTCAGAAAGTGTAAAACGGTCACCAACGATTTGAATCCGGAATCGCCGTGATTATCGTTTATATCAATGGTATAAAAACGAATCGGTGATTCTGATGGGGCACCTCAAAAATCAATCTGAAATAGCTAATGGACGATTTGGATAAAAATCGATTGAATCGGACAGATTAAAGCTTCAAAAAAATCTAAAAAAATTATTAAAATTTATTATAAATGTTATTTTTTAAGAATCCAATAAAAAATGAGAGTACTATATTATTAACTTTCATTGTTTTCATCAATTTATGAATATTGAGATGTTCTTTCCCTATATAAGCTTATGTTGACCATTAAATTTACATCACACAAAATAAATCATAAATTATTATGGATTAAGTATATAATCATATATGGACTACAATAAAGAGTTGACTAAATCAATGAAAAATTGGCCACTAAAATCTCGAATTGACGGAAAATCCTAATCCGCTAAAAAAACCCAAATTATTACAACCTAACTAACTATAATATTATATACCAACAATATTTTATAATTATTTTATAATATAAATAATAACAAATCCAAAATATTTTATAATATTATCTAA